CTTTCCATCTCTCTTGGAGGTTCCTTCTCAGGTACTGGAAGGCCACAAAGTCATCCTGAAGCCTTCTCTTTTCCAGGCTGAACAATCCCAGTTCTCCCAGCATTTCCACATAGGAGAGGTGCTCCATCCCTCTAATCTCCGTGGCCTCCTCTGGACTCTCTCCAGCAGCTCCACGACTCCCTGTGCTGTTCCCCAGGGCTGGAGCAGCTCTGCAGGGGGGTCTCACCCGAGGGGGCAGAGGGGCAGAATCCCCCCTGCCCTGCTGCCCACGCTGGAGGATCAGCCCAGGACATGGTTGGTTTTCTCCAGGGTCGAATCCTGCCATCCCCTGACACAGCCCAACAGCAGCTCCTGGGCAGGGACACGACCAGCACAAACTTCAGCATCCGCAGGCTCCGGGGGCTCAGCTCTCCGGCAGGGATGGTGCCCCGGGGTTGTGGAAACGAAGCAAGAGTAATGCAGCTGCTCTGAGTACAACAAGCTGGTGTGACCTCTTGGCAGGAAATCCAGGGAAAACCAGCAGCAGTTCTTCTAGATCCATACCAGAGCACTGGAAATAAGCTCTTCTGAGGGGCTGGAGCATGAAGTCTGTGCTGCTGGGAGTGCAGGGGGTTTGAGATACACCAGCGATGGAGAATCTTGCTATAAATAAAATCAGCCCAGTTTTCACATCTCATTTGTTCCAGGGCCCTGACAGGGACTCTGAGACCACCACGTGCTTGGGGAGTGTTGTTTTATTCCAGAACAAACTGTGCTGCTGAGGCAGGACAGCAACTTACTGTGAGTCAGGATACTTGGAGTGTCACCAACAGCTGTTTTTCCTTACTGGGATAGAGCTTTGGGTTTTGAGGCAGCAACCCAGAGTCCCATCATCTGCTGCATTCCAGAGAGGGAATGGAGAGCACAGGCAGCATCTCTGACTGGGAGAGACCCAAAGATGTCCTGACCATTCCTTCCCCCAATCTGCTTGCCCAAAGGCTTTTTCAGGAGGTGCCTTGGCCTCCCTTGGAAGATCCATGGTTATTGTCCCTGCCCATGGCAGGGCATTGGAATGAGACAATCTTTAAGGTCCCTTCCAACTCAAACCATTCCACGATTCTATGATTTGGGTGAGCTGCTTGTGAAGAATCCCATTCCCTGGTGGTCTGGGAAGCCAGGATGGGAGCAATCCAAGGAAGTGCACTGTCAGTGGGAATCTTTGCACGAAGTCATCGTGTCACTGTGAACCAGAAGCCTCATCTGGGCACACTCTGGCATCATTCACACCAACCCATCTGTTAATTCTGGTTTCAGCTGGAGGGGGTCCCACAGCCCCAGCTGAGGGGAGGGAGTGGGGCCAGGTGGGGGGTCGGGCTCTGCTCTCAGGGAACAAGGGACAGGATGAGAGGGAACAGCCTCAAGTTGTGTCAGGGGAGGGTCACGTTGGATATTGGGAAAATTCATTCACTGAAAGGGCTGTCCAGCCCTGGCACAGCTGCCCAGGGCAGAGGTGGAGTCCCCATCCCTGAAAGGATTTCAAAGCCATGTGGATGTGGCACCTGGGGACGTGGGTCAGTGGTGGCCTTGGCAGTGCTGGGAGAACATCTGGCCTCAATAGTCTTAGAGGGCTTTTCCAACCTTAACAATTCCATGATTCTTTGATTCTATGACTTTAAAAATGTCTTCAAGCTCCTGTGATTTCATCTTCTAGAAATTTGGCGACTCAGCCAACAGCCTGTTCAGCGTGGGGCAGGAGCCTGGGACATGGAGAGTGAGCAGTGAAGCCACCAGTGAAGCCCCCCTGCCCCAAAACGGTTAAGGGAACATTCTAGAGAGATTTTGTGGGTGCTGGAGCAGAGAATGTGGTGCTGGAAGGCTCATCCTGTCCATCTCCTGGCCTCCAGCTGGGCTTAAGCAGCTTCAAGCATCCTCAGATCTCTGCCCCCCCTGAGTTGGGTTGTCCAGCCAGGAAAAATGCAATCTTCCATCTACCCTAAAGAAGGCTTTGCCGTAATTTCATCTCTGGAGCCACAACAGTCCCTGACACAGTTTTAGGACTGTGATGTGGATGGTTTAAGAGCACAGCCCAGCATATTCCAGAAGGATATTATTTCCTGGCTCAGGCTCCCCAGATTAGCAAGTGTTTGTCCCTGCTGCCTCCCACTGCAGATCCCAAATCCCACCCTGCCAATGCAGTGAGCTCCCAACAGGCAGCAGTTAATCCCTGTCCTGAAACAGAGATAATTTCCACCCTGTGCTCCCAGGCACACAGTAAATCCACCTGGATTTCCTCTCCCCTGCTCCTGCACCAAGGGCTCACAGCACCATCCTGGCACATTCCATTGCTGCCTCCAAGGAAGGTTCAGCAGTGGTTTAGAAGCAGATCCAAGAGAAACTGCCTGGCTGGATCTCATCACTGAACTGTCCCATTGGATTTAATTTCTCCCAGCTCAGAGTTCTATGCTTCACCTGGAGCTCCTTGCTGGAGAGGGACTTGGGACAAGAGATGGAGGGACAGGACAAGGGGGAACAGCTTCCCACTGCCAGAGGGCAGGATTGGATGGGATATGGGGAGGAAATCCTTCCCAGTGAGGGTGGTGAGGCCCTGGCCCAGGTTGCCCAGAGAAGCTGTGGCTGCCCCTGGATCCCTGGAAGTGTCCAAGGCCAGGTTGGACGGGGCTTGGAGCAACCTGGGCTAGTAGGAGGTGTCCCTGCCCAAAACAAGGGGTGGGACTGGATGGGCTTTAAGGTCCTTTCCAACCCAAACCATCCTGGGATTCCATAATTCCATGATTCCTTGCCAGCCAGCACCTCCAAGCATATGGAGGTGCCACCATTCCTGCTGTCACCTCTCAGAGCTGTCACCCCTCCTCAGGAGGGTCACCCCTCCCCATGCCCACACGAGGACTGTGCCCTTCATTCCCTGCTGGGCTGGTCCTGCCCCGTGCCAGGGGCTGCTCTCCAGAAAGGGGTCTCATCTGCTCCCCTTCCACAAAGCCCCCAGGGCTGGGATGCCTTTCCCTCATCCAGCTTGGCCGGAGCAATGCTGGACTCAGCACATGGGCAGCTGCTGCCAGTGGGAAACCCAATCCTTCCCAGGGCCTGGCCGGAGCACAGGGATGACACTGGGCTGAGATCACGGCCCAAAATACCCAGAGAGAGGGTCACCTCACCTGGCCAGCCCTCCTGCCACTGCCCTCCATGGGCAGCACAACTCCCAGCTCCCACCAGGAATGCAGCCTATGGGACCCCCATGCCCAGCCCAGCTCCCTGGAGCAGTAGGGCACCAAGTAGAAATCAGTAGGAATCCAAGGTGGAAAAGGCAAAGCTGTGGATGGAGTCAGGATCTGGGCAGACCCAGTGCCAGCAAATGAGTCCAGGAGCTGGGATGGGCAGGAATTCCCTGGGGAAGGGCTCCTGAGCCAGTGATCCCACAGATGGCTGGTTTGCAGGTCCCTCCACTCCTCCCAGAAAACCAAAAGGGCTTCCAACCCTCCCTGCTATGGAAAAGCCTCTGGAATGTGAGCCCAGAAAGTAAACAGGTTTCTGGCCAGCACAGGGGCTGTTGGCTGATAACTGGGGGCCCTTTGTGTCCCTTTTGGGATGGGCACCACTCCAGCTGCACCTGGAGCACCTGCCAAAGGTGGCACCGGCCGTGGCACTCCGGCACACCCCGGAGAGCTGTCCTCCCGCCAGTGTGTGCTGGGAAGGAGCTGTTCCCCAGGTGCTGCTGGAAGTGGCCTCCAAACTCCTGCCCTGATAATGGAAACAAATCGCTGTTTGGGAAAGAGGGCGGGAGCGAGCAGGGATTTTCCAGGGGAAGAGGGTCGTGCTTGTGCGGTGGGGTGAGTCACTGGGCTGGAGGGGCCGGACTGGCAACACATGGTGTGATTGTTGGGGCTGTCCTGAGCAGGGCCAGGAGTTGGATCTGATGATCCTTGTGGGTCCCTTCCAACTTCAGGATATTCCACGATTCCATGACTCAGGGAGCAGGATGCTCCAGTGCTGTGCCGGGGCAGGGCGAGGCTCCCAGCAGGACCAGCCCCGGACATGCGGTCAGTGACTCCTCTCCGTGTCACCACACCCTCCCGGGGGGGTCCCAGTGCCAGCCCTGGGGCTGCCAAACCACGGCTGTCCCTGCACTGGAGCACAGAGCCCTCAGACACAGCGGCCACGGGGACATCCCGAGGCATTTCCATGCCTGTTTCCCATCCCTACACCGAGTGGTTCCTCCCTTCCTTCCCTCTCGGGCAGGAGATCACCGCGAGCCGAGGGTGGCGTAAGACAAAAATAGAGCTTTATTTTGGGACAAGTGCAATCGGAGCTGGGTCCTTCGGCCCCGGCACGGAGACACGAGCGTGGCAATGGCCCCCACAGTGCGGGCAATGGCCCCCCCGGCGGTGCCAGGGCACACACAGGGCTGTCCCTTTGCCATGGTGAGTGTGTGCAGTGCCACAGCCCAGCACCGTCCCACGCCTCAGCCTGGCACCGCCCTGGAGCGATGGCGGGTGGTCTGGGCTGTCCCCGTCCCCTCAGCCGGGCTCTCGCCCTCTCTGCCACAGATACCAGTCTGTGCCAGCCACGGCACGCTGGGAGGGACGGGGACAGGGAGCTGTGGGGGCTGGAAGGGCACAGCTGGGACAAAGGTGACGCTGGCAGCACCACCGGCAGCCCCATGGGATTGTCACAACACGGTGGGGTTGGGGACAGGGGAGGGGACACGCACCTGCCCTGTCCTGGGCATCCTGTTTGGCCATGAGAACAGTGTCTACACACAGCCAGCGTCCACTCCAGCCAGCAGAGCTCAGTGGTGACACACACACGTGTGAACGCACACACACACACGTGCACACACACACACACACATGAACACACACAGACAGACAGTTGTTTCCCCAGGCAGGACAGCAGCTGGATGCCCCGAGTCCTGTATCCAGAGTCGTTTATCCACAGCCATGTCCCTGAGCATTCCCAGTCTGCGTGTGCACACAGGGACGCACGTGTGGAGCTGGGGCACACAGCTGCACACACACACACACACACATACAGGTACCTGCACAGAGCCTGTGTGCACACCTGTACCTGCCTGACCCCCCCCCCGAGCTGTGCACAGCAGCACATACGTGCCACACGCACACAGAGCTGTGCACACACTCACATATGTACAGTCTGTACCAACGCACACGTGCACGAGACCTGCCTGCACATGTAGAGCCTTCACACAACACACACGTGCACATCAACACACGTGTGCTCACAGAGCTGTACAGACCAGCACACACCTGTGCACAGTGCCTTGCACATCAGTAGGGATGTGCAGTGCAGAGCACTGTGCACCTCAGCACATACGTGTGCACAGAGCTGTGCATGCCAGCACACCCCTGTGCACAGTACCACACACACTGGCACATACATGTGCACAGCACTGTGCACACCAGCACACACATGTGCAGAGTCACACACACTGGCACACACATGTGCACACCGGCAAACACATGCTCACAGAGCTGTGCAAACAGCCACAGGTGTGTGCACAGAGCTGTGCAAACCAGCAAACACATGTGCACAGAGCCACACACGGGCACACACGTGCACAGCACTGTGCACCTCAGCACTCCCGTGGGCACACAGAGCCAGGCACACTGGCACACACATGTGCAGAGTGGCACACACACTGGCACACATGTGTGCGCAGTCACACCCACGTGCACAGCACTGTGCACCTCAGCACACACGTGGGCAGACTGGCAAACCCGTGCGCTCAGCGTGTCACACACTGGCAGACACGTGCACAGTCACACACACGTGCAGAGTGTCACACACACTGGCACACACGTGTGCCCAGCACGACACCCCTCAACACACACACACGTGGTCGCCGAGCCGAGCTCTGCAGCCCCCCTGCCCTCGCTCAGAGCCTCCCTCGCCCCCGCTCCACCCTCAGACCCCTACTCGTGGCGCGGGTGCCGCCGCGGCGCCCGCAGGGGCCAGCACGCGGCCAGGAGCTGGGGCTGGTGGTACAGCACCATCCCCGCCAGCGTCAGCGCCACGCCGGCGTAGCCCAGCGCGCCCAGCCGCGTGCCAAACAGCAGGCGGGACAGCAGCAGGTTGCCCACCACGGTGAGGCTGCCCAGGAGGTGCAGCGTGAGGGCGGAGGTGAGGGACAGGAGGCAGGACGTGGCCAGGTTGTAGAGGACGGAGCCCAGGCAGCTGAGCAGGACGCAGCCCCAGAGCGCGGCGTCGGGGCGCAGCACCCCCTGCCACGAGGGGCCCAGCTCCAGCGCCACGGCCGCCCCGAACAGCAGCACGAAGCTGGGCAGGGACGTCAGGCCGAGCAGGGACAGCGCGTCCAGATGGTCCTCCTGCAGCAGCACACCTGGGGGGACAGGGGACAGTCAGGGGGACGTGTGAGACAACCCAGGGGGACACCCAGCACCTGCAGGGGCACTAACCCAGGGTGGACACTCAGCACCCACAGGGACACCCCCAGATGGGAACGCCCACCACTGTGGGTCCCTGCTCGCTGCCCAAGTAGTTAAGAAATCCCAAAGGTCACTGGGAAGGGGGAAATGGAGGGGACAGTCCCTTCTGTGGGCTGGGGGTCCCCTGCCTTGGGGGGGTGTCCCCCACTTTGAGGGTTCCCTGTTTTGGAGGTGCCTTGGTTCAGAAGACACCCCAGTTCAGAACTTTCCCATTTTTGGGATTCCCTGGTTTTATGGGGTGCCCTGGTTCAGACAGTGTCCAGGCTCAGGGGTGTCCTGGTTTGGGGGTCAGGGTGCTACAGGACAGGGTTGGACAGGGCAGCTTCCCCAGCCTGTTTTGGAGCATTGTCCCCACGTCCCCCCTCTGGGTCATCTGGGGACAGTGGGGACAGCAGGCACGACAGGGCTGGCTGCCACACACAGACATGCACAAGGGGCAGTGCTGTGTCCATGGGGGACAGAACAGCCCCCAGGCTCCCCAGGGCCACTGTCCATGTTCCATGGGGGTGACAAGGGAACAAGGCAGTGGCACGATGGGCAGGGGTGTCCCTTGGGGGGCCACAGCACCTCAGTACAGCCAAAGGGACCTCCAGGAGGGCACAGGGCCCCACAGCAGAGCCCGGCCCTGCAGTGCCCTGAGTCACAGGCTCCAGAGGAAACGCTCCCTTCCCAGCCAGAAACATCCTGGCTGGCTCCTCACTGCCACTTGCCAAGGACACCATGGCCCGGGTGGCACCAGAGTCCCTGGGAATGGGGGACTCACAGGGGTCCAGAGCCCACAGTGCTGGCAGGAATCCCATGGGAATGGGGCAGGCTGGGTATCCCTGTGCCCCCCCCACTGTCCCCCAAGATGTGGGACAGTGTCACCAGGAGCCAGCAGTGCCGGGGACACCACAGGGACACCAATGGTATCATCACTGAGGTCAAACTGAGGTCACATCACCTCAGGGCCAGGAGCATGACACAGCCCCAAGGGGGCAAGGGTGGCACTGGAGTAGCACTGGGGTGACACCAGGCACAGAGTGGGCAAGGGGTGGCACTGGGGTGACAGTAGGGTGGCACCAATGCCAAGGAGGACAGCAAGTGGCAATGGGACTGGAATGGCATGGAACTGGCACTGGGGCAGGGGTGACACTGGGGGCCAGAGTGCCACCAGGGCTGGGGTGACAATGGAGTGGCACTGGGGCCAGGGCGGGCAGGGAGTGTCACCAGCACCATGGTGGCACTGGGGTGACACCAGTGACAGGATGGGCAAGGGGTGGCACTAGGGTGGCACCAGGGACAGGGTGGGGCTAGGGTGGCACTGGGGCTGAGGTGACACTAAGATGACATCCAGTACAGGGTGGGGAGGGGGGTGGCACTGAGGTGATACCAGAGCCAGGGTGGGCAGCATGAGCGAGCAGGGAGCGTCCCCAGCCCCACGGTGACACCGGGGTGCCACCAGCCCGCCCGCGCACCAGGGGCCGCGCCAGAGGAGGACGCACATGCAGGACAGCGACAGGGACAGGTGGCACTTACTCTGCTGGATGGACTTGAGGGCGCGGAGCACGGTGGCGGCCAGCAGGAAGCCGCAGCCGGGCTGGGAGAAGCGGAGCCCGCCGGCGATGCTGCAGGCGGCCCCGGCACACACCGGGCCCATGGCCCAGCACTGCAGCGGGTGCGGCCGCCGGCCCCCCAGCACCCCCAGCACCAGCGTCACCAGCGGCGTGGTGGTGGCCACGGCCTGGGCCACGTCCAGCTGCACGTAGCTCAGGCCCAGGTTGCCCAGGGCCACGCTGGTGCAGAAGGTGAGGCTGAGCAGGTAGATGCGGGCGCGGGGCCGCGGGGAGCGGGCACCCCGCGCCCAGCCCAGCGGGTACCCCACGGCCACCCCCGACAGCATGTGCAGCGAGGAGAGCAGCAGCGGGTATCGGAACCCGTGCGCCGCGAAGATCCACTTGTTGAGGCCGGCCATGGTGGTGCCGGTGCCCAGCCAGGCCAGCACGCTCAGGGTCAGCGGCAGCGCCGGGCCCGGCGGGGGCGGCCGCCCCCCGTCCGCCTGCCCCGGGTCGGGCTTCCAGGGCCGGAGGGTGCCCTCGCCCGCCGTGCTCATCGCGGCCTCATCGCCCCGCCGCGACCGCGGGCACATGGGCACCGGCCCCGCTGCCTCCGGCCGCCCCTCGCCGCTCTGCCCCGTCCTCCCGCGCCGCGCCGGGAGCCGCCGCGCCCGGGCTGCGGCGGTGGCGGTGACCGGTCGCTCCGGCGGTGGCGGTGTCGCTGTCGGCGGTGTCCCCGCGCCCGGGGCGGT